GAGGGTTCTACCCAAAACGAACACTAATATCATACCATTGTGGAGATACTTGGAATACGAAGGATATTGTTGTCCTCCTAAGAGACATGTGGACTATTAATATTAAATGGGGATAGGAGGAAAGTGAACAGAAGAATTTTTACTCAAAAGACTTTACTACAACTTAAGAATTTTAACCTACTAGATGACTTTTCTCTTCTAAATAGCAATGGGTTTGACATTGCAACATTTGAGTGGTATTTACGTTCCTGGATATCAGATTCAGCTGCTTTAGTTTTAGTGCATTTTCAAACCTTAGCATCAGCATGGTATCGCGTCCTACCAAGTCCAATCTCCATTTCCATGGATTTAACTTGCTTTTCATGGTGATTGATTGATTGCAAGTTATTCAACAAAACTCTGGATTTCATATACTATACTCTATCTGCTTCTCTTGTGGCAGAATCAAGAATGTCCTCAGCTCTCAAGAATAGTGAGTGTGAAACAACAATGCAGATGATAGTTTTTCTTCAGAGAGGAGAAGTTAAATAGCATTGAAACCAGAGCCAAATGACTTGGTTAAAAGAACGTAGCATTGAGGAAAAGGAAAGGTCCAATATCTCCAATTACAAAGTTTGATGATCGCTTCAAAGAAAGAATTTTAATGGACAGGAACAAGTTGAACAAAGATCTAATGCCAGGTTTGCCAGCCGTAACGAAACTTGTTTTAGTGAGCTTTTCCTTCTTCCTGTAACAATGATCATATAAATGTGATTTTTAAAAATGAGGTTTGAACATCGAATGCTCACTATTAGAGAATTCGATGATTCAAAAGAAAAGCCCGATATAATGGTAAAGATAAAGATGATTGAATTGAATATGGTCCGTCTGGAAGCAGCGTTTTCTTTTTTCTTTTTCCTTTCGATTTTCAAAATAGCACTTTTTAAAAGATAAAAAAAATTATTCACAATTTTTCTTGATTTTCATCGGTATTGAGAAACAACATTCCACGACGCCTTTGCATGAAAAGGTACTTCCATAGCTATTTTTCACAGGATTGTAGCTGCTTTTTAGAAGTAATATATTTAATATACGAACAATATTTTACACCCCTAAACTAATTTTAGGAGACACACTCTAAGATATTAAATATCGGATAAGTGGCCACTACAGTTTGAACTCATTCTCTCTAATCCATTTACTATTCTAGAAAGTAATTTTCAAAACACCCCTTTCCTTATTTTGGTTAAAATGCAAAAGCTCCGTAATAAATATAAAAAGCAAAGAAACTATTACTATATAAACTTTCTTAGAAAAAGAAAAAGCTTAACAAATAAGCAATTTCCAGTTTCAACCTTTTGAATCAGTATTACTAATTAAATCAATTTTTAATGTGTAAACATATAGAATAATGTATTGTTTTAATCAAAATCACGTAAGTTTCTTTGCATGATTTTTAAAAGAACTTCAAATTCCAAAATAAAATAATTTCATATAGTATATTCTAAAACCTTTGTTGTTTTAGAGCACAAGAAAGAAAAATGGTTTTATACTCCCATACTTAGTTGGGAAGGTCAATTTTAATTTTAAAATATTACTTTTATCAAATAAAATTTTAAGTTTAATTTTAAATAAGTGGTAAAACCAATACCCTAATTAGCTGATTTTTTAAAAAAATTTTATAGAGCATTACATCATAATCTAAATGTGTGGATTCAAACCTTCAATATTTTAAGAATATCATAAATATATTAACCATTGAACTTTATTTTGAAAATTTGTGACTATTCTTGTCATATATTTTGTAAACTAAACGGGACTATTTTTGTCATGGTTTTTCTTTAAGGTTTTTACTGATTTTATTTTTTTTTTGGAGGGATGGATTTAATTGGTATTAGATGTGAATATTTTTTTTTATCGTACCATAGTTGTTGAGTATAAGCCTTTAATGGCTAGGTTTCGATTTTTTAAATCTTAATTTGAGTATTTTGTTGGTTAGCTGTCTGATGGTTTATTGACTAGTTAAAAAGAATTCTAATTTGATTTTTAAATGGTGTCGAATCTGGCGGCTTTTTTTTTTTTTTTTGAAGTTTTGAATCTGTTTTAACCAGTACGAAATCAAAATTGTAATGTTAAAACATAAAATCAATACACTGGTTAATAATTTGTCGCATCTTAAAAAAAATCTAAATGGACCAGACAACCACTATAATTTCAGCTCAACGTGAACGATCCCATGAATTCAATTGTTCGGTTTCTCCTTTAGCAATATTATCGAAATAGATAAGAATCAATACAAAGTTACCCTACCATAAATTTTGTCTTTTTTTTTTATAATTAAAATGAAGACGGAAACTAATGTAGTAATAACTTGTAAAATAGTGATACACATGATAAAGAATTCAAGTTTCATTTATACCTTTAAACTTTAGGATATGTTTCAATTATACCGTTATCATTTAAAAAGTTTTATTTTAATCCTTAGCCATTCAACATGAAAATATGAAAAACAAGTGTATTTTATACTTTTCCATCTTCATTTAATAAAACGGTTGACAAAATAATAATTTTAAAACAAATTTATAACTTAAGAGTAAAAATGAAACTTTTAAAAGCATAACTCAATAATTAAACTATATATTATCAAGTCTAAAAGATTGAAAATCCACTTTTATCATGTTGAACTAAAAAAGATGAACTAAGAAAGAAAAATAGTGATGAAAAAAAAAAGAAAAGAAAACAGTGATCCACTATTTCTAAAATAATATTATTATGTGGACTTGTTTATTAAGAAATTAACTATTTTGAATATGGGATGCACAGGGTTATAGGATTTATGTCATGCTATATTAGCAAAAGTAATACAAGTAATCCTAAGAAAACTGTACTATATCTATAAAAATTGTCAATTTTAAGGTTATTATTGAAACCGACCTAAAAGTTAAGAGGCATTTTATATAATTTAAAGTGTTCCTTGTTTGTTGCAAATGCAGTGAATCCAATCAAAATCAGAAACGGCGGTGGAGGTGAAATAGGCAGTGGGAGTGGGTTTTCCGTTTTGAAGAGGAAAGAGGGAGTATATTAGATTTATGATTGTAGTTGGAAGAATCGAAATTCCAAATGCCAACAGGCCAGACCCAGGCATTTGTTGCTGAGTCGTCATAGTCCATTAAAGGCAAAGGGTCAGTAGAGTACGAGTTAGCGTTCAGCTCCATTTCAGAGACTCTCAAAGACACTACTTTGAAGTTTGAAGAGACAGTGACTCTCAACTTTAAAACTAAGATTTGATGTGTCCCATTTGGTACCCCACGTGTCGCTTTACATGTTACTCTTACTCTTACTCGTACTGTTTCTGACCCTCCAAAGTTCCAAACCAAACACTCCACCCTCCTCCTATTAATCTCCACATCCCTTATGTTATTTTCCTTTCCGTCTTTATCCTTAAAAATTCCACCCTCTCTCTCTCTCTCTCTCTGCTTCACTCATGGCCACGCCCCAATGAATTCCAAACCCACCATCTCACACACTACAGATTTCCATTTCCCCCCAAAGCCTATGAAGAAGAGAAGGTCCCATAAAAGAAAGCTTCCCCGGGAATCTCAAATCAACATGGCGGAGGCCAGAAGACAGGTAGCTCAAGCTTTGCAACTCCACAGATCGTCCTTGTCGTCTTCGACCATGGCCGCTGCAGGACCCACCGGGGAAAACCCCATCTTTTCAGGTTCGCAGCATTTTTGTTATTCGATACTGGAGTCTATGCCACTTCCTCAACCCACATGGTCCACCACTGCACCTTGTGTGCTGCGTAGTTCGCCGCTGGCGGCCATGGAAGAGCAGGAAATTTTTGAGTGGGGAGATTATGGAGAGAATGGAGATGGGCCAGCTTCCTACACGTGGTGGCTTGGATTTTTGAAGGCCTTGGATGTTAATAGCAAACCAGAGTATCCTAATGCAGAGATCACTCAGTGCCAGGATGGGTTGGAACGTGGAGAGGCACTGTTTCTCGAGCCAAGTGACCACAGCTCGTTTCCAGATGAATGGTTGATAGTTCCAATTAGTGAAGATGGGGGGTTTATTGACAACAACTGCCTTGGAAATGAATTCGCATCTAACTAACTTCAATGTGGTTTTGCTTCGTTTTCTGTTAATAAATTGTTGGGGTTCTGCCCAGAATCTCCCTCCCAAAGATGTGATTACTTGTACACGTGTATCATTTGAACCCTTTCTGTTCATTCTAATCAAAGTTATGACGGTGGATGATGCAGGGTGGCGTGGTCGGGTCAAGTTTAATTTGGTGGGTTGACCCTAGACTTGGATCAACATAACCGTTATTGTTGGATTTGTTTTGTTCATTTTTAAAATTACCAAGTTGATATTTTAAGAATTTATGTTGCCTATCTCAGAAATAGTGGCCCTCGAAGCTATTCAAGTTTAGAGAGAAGTATTAGGGGAATATAATACTAAACCTGAGGCCGGTTTTCTTTTTTTTGGGATTTAATCCTAGAAATCGCTTAGTCCATAGTTCAAGACAATTCTACATACCAAATATAAAATTCAACTTCATCCAAGGGCATATAGATTCAAAAACTTATGAGAAAACTGATAAAAAGAATACAATCCCTTCCAATTGATTTGAACTTGTATCAATCTTATTTTTGGCTAAGGTTGATGGGAGTGAGAGAGAGAGAGTCAACGTCAAGACTAGAGTGTGTGAGCGTTTTGGGGCGGGGCCTACGAGCGACGATGCACTACTGTTTTGTGACAGTTTTGGACTCTGTTTTAGTAATTGTTTGGATGAGTGAACCCAACAGCATTGGGCTTGGGCTGTTGTAAGTGTAACTTTATGTAGATCCATATAGCAGCAGACTGGCATAAGGCTCCTAACGCCTTTCAACATTAAAGTATTTTGATATATTACTGAACACGATCCAGACCGATCAGAATACCAGAAGACGTATTTATGAATTAGAATGATCTGAAAGTCGAGCTCTGGAAAACGGTCCAATGACAACCTTCAGGAGGACAATAAATACAAGCAATATCATTGGGGAATCCTCCTTATGGCAACTAGCAAGCAATTCATGTCTCGATCCAACAACAGACGATACGAGACGGAAGAACAACAAAAAGCTCAAACAGGCAAAGATATGAGACTCAGAATACGAGTGTCTCCCAATCTGATTTTGAGAATCCTCTATTACAAACAACTAATGAGCATGAAGAACTGATGGAAGATTGGTTAGTATCCATATTCCTTCCCTTCTAGAATTCCAACAGAATGGCCTTGCCCGTTATTACAATTTTAGAAACTGGGAGTGGTCAGTCTCTGGCATGTCCTCTTTTTGTTTTCTTTTCAAAGGTGTGGTATAAAGAGAGGGAATAAAGGACGAAATCATGCACTAGAAAGGAGTTTATTGAGTCAGAGCACGTAAATATAACAGTAAGTAAATGACCATACTTTATGGAGACCTCTCCGATGCCAAATTAAGCAATCTGCGAAAGAACTGGTGGGGGTATACAGGTGGTGTCTCCGCAAGTGCCTGTGCGTGAATGAACAACACATGATTATTTAGCATTCAGAAGTTGGGTGAAAAACTCAATGTTTTCGTGCATTAGATTGCGCCGAATTCCGGCATAAATGATTTATGGGATCTCCAAATTAAATATCTTGTTTTCAAGTTTGATGTTTCAAGGATTATTTTCCAAGTTTCTCCAGCATAAGCTTATGTAATGATAGCTAGATCATAATATCAACTACCCTTTCTTAAGGCTCATATAAAAAAACGTCAGATAACGTAAAATTGGAATTTAAAGGATTTGCTAGTACTCGAAGATTAGTGATTATTCTACAACTGACGTAACGTGAATCGTG